TTATTATTATTATTATTATTATTATTATTATTATTATTATTATTATTATTTAGAAAATAATAACAATAATAATAATAATAATACAAATTTTCATAAAAACAAACGGTTTATTGAAAAGCACAACAGTCAAAGGATGAAAATACTCATTTATTATGGACAAAATTGACTTACAGTGATATGATATTGAGGAATACATTGTCTAACAAAAGTTTTCAGTACACAACATAGACTAGCATAGCATAGCATAGCATAAAAGAGCATAACATAACATAACATAGCAAAACAGAGCATAGCATAACATAGTTTTTAGAGTATTTAATCATCAGATGAAATATACTTGGGGTGGGGCTCATCTCATCTTACAGTGGAAGTCTACCGAGGGGACACCAACCCTGTATCAACCACGAGAAAGTACAGCACTGTATTTACCTGTAATTTCGACTTGGTACTCTACCCATTTGACATCCAAACCTGTTCAATGCAGCTACAGATCCAGTCTGCTTCCTCTGAGTATCTAATATTCAACTCAAATGGTGAGTATTTCGCCCTATTCATCTATTATGGTGAGTATTTCGTCTTATTTAACTTTTATGGTGAATATTTCGTCTTATTCAACTGTTATGGTGAGTATTTTATCTTAGTCAACTATTATGGTGAATATTTCGTCTTATTAACTGTTATGGTGAGTAATTCGTCCTATTCATCTATTATGGTGAGTATTTCGTCTTATTCAACTATTATGGTGAATATTTCGTCTTATTCAACTGTTATGGTGAGTATTTCGTCTTATTCATCTATTATGGTGAGTATTTCGTCTTATTCAACTGTTATGGTGAGTATTTCGTCTTATTTAACTTTTATGGTGAATATTTCGTCTTATTCAACTGTTATGGTGAGTAATTCGTCTTATTCAACTATTATGGTGAATATTTCGTCTTATTCAACTGTTATGGTGAGTATTTCGTCCTATTCATCTATTATGGTGAGTATTTCGTCTTATTCAACTATTATGGTGAGTATTTCGTCATATTCAACTGTTATTGTGAATATTTCGTCTTATTCAACTGTTATGGTGAGTATTTCGTCTTATTCAACTGATATGGTGAATATATCGTCTTATTCAACTGTTATGGTGAATATTTCTTCATATTCAACTGTTATGGTGAGTAATTCGTCTTATTCAACTGTTATGGTGAGTAATTCGTCTTATTCAACTATTATGGTGAGTATTTCGTCATATTCAACTGTTATTGTGAATATTTCGTCTTATTCAACTGTTATGGTGAGTATTTCGTCTTATTCAACTGATATGGTGAATATATCGTCTTATTCAACTGTTATGGTGAATATTTCGTCATATTCAACTCTAATGGTGAACATTATCTAATTCAACTGTTATGATGAGTATTTCGTCTTATTCAACTGTTATGGTGAGTAATTCGTCTTATTCAACTGTTATGGTGAGTATTTTATCTTATTCAACTATTATGGTGAGTATTTCGTCTTATTCAACTGTTATGGTGAATATTTAGTCTTATTCAACTCTAATGGTGAACATTTCGTCTTATTCAACTTTGATAGTGAGTATTTTATCTAATTCACTGTTATGATGAGTATTTCGTCTTATTCAACTGCTATGGTGAATATTTGGTCTTATTCAACTGTTATGGTGAGTGATACATCTTATTTAACAGTTATGATGAATATTAGTTATGGTGAGTATTTCCTATTAACTGTATTCAACTATTATGGTATTTCATCTTATTCAACTGTTATGGTGATTATTTTATTTTATTCAACTATTATGGTGAGTATTTCGTCTTATTCAACTGTTATGGTGAGTATTTCGTCTTATTCAACTGTTATGGTGAATATTTCGTCTTATTCAACTGTAATGGAGAATATGTCGTCTTATTCAACTTTGATAGTGAGTATTCTATCTTATTCAACTGTTATGGTGAGTATTTCGTCTTATTCAACTGCTATAGTGAATATTTCGTCTTATTCAACTGTTATTGTGAATATTTCGTCTTATTCAACTGCTATGGTGAATATTTCGTCTTATTCAACTGTAATGGTGAATATGTCGTCTTATTCAACTTTGATAGTGAGTATTTTATCTTATTCAACTGTTATGATGAGTATTTCGTCTTATTCAACTGTTATGGTGAGCATTTCGTCTTATTCAACTGTTATGATGTGTATTTCCTTGTATTCATCGAACGTAAGTGAAAATTTTATCATGTTAGGATAGCTTCAAATATATCAGCTGTCAGTGTAAATGATCTATGATATCAGTAAAGTAGACGTTATATGTAATCTTAGTAGTTGTCAGATGTCAGGAAAGGATATCAGATGTTAATGTTAGAGATGTCATTTGTCAACATTGAAACGTAAGCACAAAAGAAGTCAAATAGAAGGCCTCAGAACAAAAGAAAATCATTTTATTTTAGAGACATCAGTTGTCAGCTTAGAAGACGTCAACACAAAAGGAAGTCAGGTATTTTAGAGACATCAGTTGTCAGCATAGAACACGTCAGCACAAAAGGAAGTCAGGTATTTTAGAGACATCAGTTGTCAGCATAGAAGAAGTCAACACAAAAGGAAGTCAGGTATTTTAGAGATGTCAGTTGTCAGCATAGAAAGATACCAACACAGGTATTTAAGAAACGTCAGTTATCAGCAAAGAAGCACACCAATACAAATGGAATTCAGGACTCATCTCTGTACTCTACCCACAGATTCTTACGCCCAATATCTGGGTCAGAAGTTCCTGATTGAGTACGGAATTGGACTCATAGACCTCCAGGTGGACAACGCAATGCAGTATAGCGAGATGAAAGTCCGTATTGAGTTGATTCGACGCTATGGCTATGCTATGCTAAACATCTACATTCCATCCCTTACCCTTCTCATTATTAGCTATGTAACGCTCTTCTTCCGGCCAACTATATTTGAGGTGCAATGCTCTTTCGTTTTGTTGTGATATAATGTTGTTATTTGAATTTATTGTTGTGTGTTTTAGAAGATATAATTTGCGATGCTGTTTTGTTTCATTGCTAGACAGTATTAACCGTATTCTTGCTCCCCATGTTCTAAATAGCGATGGTTTGCGATATTCTTTTGTTTAAATGTAATGTTGCTTTACTTCATAGTGTCTGTGTTTCAAGGTGCTATGCTTTACGATGCTTTTTTGTGTCATTGCTACACAATATTAACCTTATTCATAGTCCCATCTTTCAGATAGCCATGGTTTGCGATGTAGTGTGACTTATTTCTTTGTTTATCTGCCTTGCTTCTCTCCCTTCATATTCCCCTCTTTCATATTTTGTGATTCAGACATACAGAGACAGGCAGAAATACTTAAACAGAGACAGACAGAAATACGTAAATTAGAGACAGGCAGATTGACAGACCATTAAAAAGATCAAGATAGAAACAAAAGGAGACAGGCAAGCAGATAAACAGAAAGAGACAGACAAATAAAAAGAGAGAGAGAGAGAGAGAGAGAGAGAGAGAGAGAGAGAGAGAGAGCGAGCTAGAAGCATAGTGTTGAACATCCAGGAAGCAGTGGTTTGCATGCATGAGAGGATACCACAACTTTAAGTGATTCTGGAAAAGAACATACTAGTGCAGGGTATAACTTAACCTTTGTGGGTCGATACACACCATAATAGACCACAACAACACCCTATCCACTACAAAAGATTGATAAAATGAAAGTTATTGATGAGAACACTGTATACAAAGTTATATTACTTTCTGCTGTCACCTGTGCAACATGTAAATACCTGCAACATTGCAATAAGGAATCATTTGGATATACATTCACTTTGGCATCCTATTTTATGTTACTTCTGGATAAATAACTTCTTTAAACCATCTTGATATGTGTGTGTGTAAATAGTCATCATTTTTTTCGTAATTCATGTTGTCTTTAACTTGTTTTTAATTCGTGTTGCCTTTGTTTATAATTCGTGTTGTCATTGTTTTTAATTCATGTTGTCTTTAACTTGTTTTTAATTCTTGCTGTATTTCTTTATAATTCGTTTTGCCTTTGTTTATAATTCGTGTTGTCGTTGTCTTTAATTCATATTGTGTTTGTTTTTAATTCATGTTATCTGTATCTTCTTTTATTGATGATGTGTCCTATTCGTGTTGACCTTAACTATTTTCGTTATTCATGCTGTCCTCTCTGTGTTCTCTCTGTGTATTCTCTGTGTTCTCTCAATGTACTATCTGTGTACTCTCTAGGTTTTATCTGTGTACTCTCTGTGTTCTGTCTGTGTTTTCTCTGAGTACTCTTTGGGTTCTGTTTATGTGCTCTCTGTGTACCGTCAGTGTTCGCTCTGTGTTCTCTCCGTGTTCTATCTGTGATTTCTCTGAGTACTCTCTGTTTTGAGTGTGTACTCCCTATGCACTCTCTGTGTTCTCTGTGTTTTCTCTGTGTTTTCTGTGTTTTCTCTATGTACTATCTGTGCTCTCTCTGTGTTCTATCTGTGTTCTCTGTGTTCTCTCTGTGTTCTATGTGTTCTTTCTGTGCACTCTCTGAGCATTCTGTGTTCTCTCTGCATACTCTGTGTACTCATTGTGTACTCTGTGCTACTAACCAGTGTTCTTCTTCAGGTAAGAGTAATGACTGCACTCACTGCCCTCCTGGTGTTAGCTACCCTCTTCACGCAAGTCTCAACTTCTTTACCCAAAACCTCCTACTTCAAGATGGTGGACATTTGGCTCCTCTTCTGCATCGTTCTCATATTTTTCATCATCATCTTCCACACTATCATTGATTTCCATGTTGATTATAGTAACACAGGAGCGCCTCTCTCCTCCAAGGGATGGGTTGGCACGTCTCAAAGAAGCTCCGGTTCAAATATCGTGAAGGTAACTCCTGTAGGTGGTAATACTAAAAGTGGCGATGAAGATATGAATAACTTGTCAATTAATTTCCTGAAGGTGAGGTTTGATGCGAAGTTTTATATTAATTTGTCAAAGCTTACCATGTTTCTGGTGTTCTTTGTGTTTAATATTACGTATTGGGGGACACTGGCGGTGGGTTCTGGTCTGGTTTATTACTACTGAAGGTGGCGGTAGTGGTTTTATTTTACTCCTGACATACTACTACTACTACTACTTCTACTACATTTTTTTTTAAACATATCCTCCATCCTCCCCTTATAGCCACACCTTCGCCGCCATTTTATTACCTTAAAATTAAATATCCTAATACATAAGTAGCTATCCAAGCTGTGTTGAGTTATTATTATTATTATTATTATTAATATTATTATTATTATTATTATTATTATTATTATTATTATTATTATTATTATTATTATTATATTACCTCAGCACTACTACCAATACTCTTACTACATCTACTACTACTACTGCCACTACTGACAAAGGTGGCCCACCTGTGAGGTACAGTAGAGACAACTCAATGTATACTAAACCTACAGTAAACAGAGGCAACAAGGCTGACACTGTACTCGACCACCTTCACTTCCTCAACAGGAAAGTTAAGAGTGCCCTGAGATAGTTATATTTGACAGGCACTTTAAAATTATAATAGCTTTACACATTAGAAACCAAACAACACCTTTAGACCACCAAGCAACGCCTTTAGAAACCAAACAATACCTTTAGAAACCAAACAACGCTTTTAGAAACCAAACAACACCTTAAGATACCAAACAACGTCTTTAGAAGCAAACAACGTCTTTAGAAACCAAACACCGCTTTTAGAAACCAAACAACACCTTAAGATACCAAACAACGTCTTTAGAAACCAAACAACGCTTTTAGAAACCACACAACACCTTAAGATACCAAACAATGTCTTTAGAAGCCAAACAACGTCTTTAGAAACCAAACAACGCACTTAGAAACCAAACAACGCCTTTAGAAACCAAACAATGCCTTTAAAAACCAAACAATGCCTTGAGAAACCAGACAATACCTTAAGAAACCAGACAACGCCTTTAAAAATCAAACTATCGTAAGTGACACGAAAATAAGACAAAGACGATTGATTTTTCGTTTTTTTTTTTACGATATTAAGTTACATTAAACCCGCATAAAAACCATATCAGTGTTTATGGTTTAGAGAATAGAGACCGCATTTAATCTAACGTGTAAAGCTTCATAAAAACCATATCAGTGTTTAAGGTTTAGATTACAAACACATTATTTAAACCACCTCTAAAACATCAAAGAAACCACAACCTAACAGGTTTAGTTTTAGAAACAAGAGGCCATAAAACACATCTTTAACTACTGAGTAAACCACAACTTAATTATTTGAGGTCTAGAACCCAATCGCTGTTAAACTATCTCCTTAAAACCCTAAATAATTATAAACCTCTTAGTTAAACCACCCTTCCATAAAACTAGATAAACAGTGATAGTTTTAAATTTAGAGACCAAACACTTCACTTAAATCAACTCTCAAAAAAATCGATAAGCCATTCATGATTTTACTGATAATTTTTACTTTAGAAACCAAACGTAATTAAACCAATCTTTAACTCTAAAGTAAACCATATATTTACTTATAGTCAACAACCACACATAAACCAGACAATAAAACATTATTAAACCTTATCGGTTTACTTTAATACAACTACAACTAAGCCAGATAGAAAAGCTCTATAAAACACAAATGATTTAGCTTATTAAACCAAACACTCGAGTTAAACCACCACAAAACTGTATGTATTTCCTTAAAGTTGTGTTTTACCCCACTATTATTTTAGATAACATTGACTGGTCCACATGAAGATTAGCCACCCAGCTTATTTCACTCTTATGATGAACCACCGTAACCTATCCTAACTTAAGATAATTTAACAATAACTCAACTTAACCTAACTTAAAGCTATCCTTACACTAACCAAACCTACCTAAATGTCTACCCGACTTAATAACGTTAACATTAACCTAACTTAAGGTAAACTTACACTAACCAAACCTACCTAAATGTCTACCCGACTTAATAACGCTAACATTAACCTAACTAAAAGGTAATGCAACTTAGCCTAATTTAACACAAACCTAACAGACTAACCAAACACAAAGCTAACCTAAATAAACCTAACACTAACATAAATAAATCTAACCTAACCAAACTCTAACCCAACCTAGTTTAACCCAACCTAGCCTAAGCCAACGTAACGTTACGTAAAGTAACATGACCTAACCTATCTTAATATAACGTTCTGTGCAATATATTAAAACACTATGCATACTAAAGACTTTCATTTAACCTTTCTAAAAAAAAACATAATCTCCAAGTGTTAAACTATCCTTGAAGCGTTAAACCATCTTCCTGAATGGGTTAAACCATCTTCCTCAAAGGTTTCAATCATCATCCTCATAAGATTAAACCATCATCAGTGAAGGGTTAAACCATCATCCTCAAAGGGTTCAGTCATCATCTTCAAAGGGTTAAATCACCAACCTCAAAGGGTTAAACCACCATCCTCAAAGGGATTAACTATCTCCCTAAAAAGGGTTAACTAGTATCTTCAATGGGATAAACCATCACCCTCAAAGGGTTCAATTATGATCCTCATTAGATTAAACCATCATCTTCAAAGGGTTAAACCATCATCCTCGGAGTGTTAAACCATCTTCATCAAAAGGGTTAAATAATCGTCCCCCAGAGATTAAACCATCATCCCCAAAGGGATTAAGCCATCATCATCAGAAGTGTTAAGTCATCATCCTCAAAAGGGTTAAGCCACCATTTTCAATGGGTTCAATCATCATACTCATGAGATTACACCATCATCTTCATAGGGTTAAATCATCATCTTGCTAAGTTATCATCCTAAACGAGTGAAAATATTTCTTTTCAACAACTCATTAATCTTCAGTACTTTAGAGTATATAGGTAAAAAATTAGATATTTAAAAGTGAAATGCATAGTTATTTTAGTATTACAGCATGAAAAGAATAGTTGGTTCTGTTAGATATGTCTATGTACTATCGTGCACAAAAATCGTGTGCACTACCCAGCCACAGTGAGGTTTCGAATAGCCTTGAGTCTGAAGTTTCGAAACAGCTGGGGAAAATGCTATGGTCGGCCAACAGATGTCGCCCACTGTAGTGTGTGTGTGTGTGGGGGGGGTGGGGGGGGATGAGAGGCAGGTTTATTTATTATTTATACCACCATAATTTCAAGCTGCCTTTTCAACTACGTTTTGTCTTACAGTTGTTTCTTTATACGAATTCATGGAACAGGTGCAGTGCCCTGGGTGTTTATTGCCGCTCAGGTCACAATGATACTTCAAAGAATGCAATATATTAAGGATAAAAGTGAAATATGCAAGGATCAGCGTGAAGGGCCTTGGTTAGCTAGTTTTACTCAGCGACCACGTCACAATTTTGTTGTTATTCTTACAAAGAGATTATGGTAATATTTATTTATATTCCACCCATCCTTTGCTTAATAAATATTTGTAATAATATGCAATATTTGCCGATAATCATCATCATCATCATCAAGATTTAGTTTAACCAGACCACAGACACCCATTTGAGTCTCTCCTAGGGCTGGCCAGAGGGATTAGTTAACATATATTTCTGTTTCTACAATTTAGTGTTATATTGTTTGGAGGAGATTACAGTATTTCAAAAAGGTCAAAACTGAACTTGGGAAAAATTTTGGGGTCTGCTAAAATATCTTACATTGTAGGGTTAGTGAAGCACATTGTTCGATACCGATTATAAATAGGGCATTCAATGAGAATATGTTGGACTGTTATTTGTGTTCGGCAGTTGAAGCACATAGGTGGGGCTCCATTAGGGGAAGACATGAGTTGGCCATGCGTCATTCGCGTATGTCCAATTCTTAAACGATTCAGAATAGTTTCGTGATGTCGAGAGTATTGTTTTGATGATGACCAAGGATAAACTGATGATTTGATAATTTTTAGCTTATGACTTGTTGGTTCATTTTCCCAGGACTTTTGCCAATCGTCAAATATTAATTGTTTATAGGTAGTTAGCCTCGCCGATAATCAAAATATATGGTTTTCCACTGCTTTACATATTTCTTTGACAATTTTCAGCTATGACATGTTCGTCCCAGATTACATATAACTGTAATAAGTCACATTACGTTAGGGTTCGTTATATCAAAACGTTTTTCCTCTTGTTCATTGAGTCGTTCTGAATTCCATTTCTGCTCAAAATACTACATTACCCAACCCAAACTCCCAGGTTGCAACTGGGGGTGTAACATAACCGAGTAAGGTAACGTGCGGAAAACGCATAGCACATCAAACACCTTATTTTTATGGTGAAGTTAACTAAGGAGCTCATATAACAACTATCATATAATTATAATAGGGTGTCACACTAATTACAGCAGATATTTGTAGAGGTGAAAGAATATGTGATTCTGAGTATAAAACTTCTATACATATATGGATTTTTCGGTTTATGTTTAGCCGTGAGGTGAATTTTTCGGTTTACGTTTAGCCGTGTGGTGGATTTTACAAATTAAGCAAGGCAACCATTACAAATGGCGGAGTCGAGGCGGGAGATACGGATAGTGATAACGAAATATAGGAAAGGGGGAAGAAGGTTTAGTAGTGAAAGAATGTGGGTTAAACGGAACAGACTTTTAGGAGGAGAGAAAGTGTGTGGCCTTCTGCCCACTGCATGGTATTGGGTGGTAGGTTGGGGTGACTGGGGCGATGGGAGGGAGGAAAGGATGTGGAGAAAAGAAGGCGAAAGGAAATGGAGGGCCCATCCCTATTTGGGTGGGGTGCACCTCATCTTTAATTTGTTTGGAGGGCCCATTCATTATTTTTCTGAGTAGGGTTACTCTTTTTATTATAGATAGAGGGAAACGGATGGAGATAGAGACGTGGTGGCTCAATATCACAAATTCTTTCACCTCTACAAATATCTGCTGTCACTCATGGGACACCCTGCAATAGTATAAGGACGACATGGGCTATGCTGACAAATTAATGTGACTTACCTGTTGGTGACGACGATGGTAGGAATGAGACCTCGGCATGTTTCAGTGTTTGATATCACCTCCTTCCCCTGGTGTGGGTGGCGCCAACCTTGGTAACAACTTGTGTATTCTCCGTGACTACAAGTAATGGTAGTCACGGAGAATTAATTACTGGTGTGCCATTCATTCGCACCGTCGTAGCCATGAACAGCAGAGGTATGG